TCAACGGGATACTTAGACACCACAACGGTTTGGTCATATTCTCAGCAAGATTTCCATTCTCTTTATAATGGAAACTGAGACAAAATTTCTGAAAGGATCTCAAAAATTCATTTAAAAATGGACTTGATCAATAAGTCAAGACTGAAATATCAAAATGCAACTGGTAGATTAGATTTGTTAGGTAAATCTCAAAATTCCAAGATGATATTTTATGGAGAATCATGTTAGAAATCATGTTTAAATGTGCAAGTGGGATAATTTTTTTGAGATGATCTCAAATATTTCACACAAAAATGTCAATTTTGAGGATGGACCTCAAAATTCCAGAATGAGCAACCTCAGATAAACCAAGCAAGTTATGAGAGTTCTTCTATGTTTTAGACCAGGACAGAATTTTTGAGGAGGGTCTAAAAAAATTTCATCAAGTCTGTCTTACAAAGGACGGACGAGTGTGTAAGTCAAGTGTAAGAAGGAGCATGGAGACAAGACCCACACAAATCAGTCTTTCACACTAAGAATTATTTTTTTGGATGCAGGAACATCGAAGTCACAAAAATGTCTATATAAAGCTGTCAAGAATGACAAAATGAGTCATTTGCACCCATCGTGGATTCATCAACAAAAACCTAGAAATCTTCCATCTCATTTTATCTCCATTAAATTATATTGCCTCAAGTAATTTATAAACAAGTTTTTTTTTATCTTGCAGGAATATTAAAGCCAACACTTTCAAATTTGTAAGAAACAAAGTGCTGAAGGATCGCTAGTTAAGAGTCATGATCAAAGTTACAATTAGGTTCATCATAGCCTAATCTCGATCAGCCTAATGACTTATTTTAGTTCTTCAACTTTAATTTTATTCTTTACTTCATCATCGATACTAACGTTTGGTGTCGAGCTTTGCAGGTGATAGTATTGATAAAGTCAAAATTATACCACAATATTTCCTTGACAATCAAAGTTATCGAATAGTTACAAGTTTTTGATAACGATTGGAAACGTCAACAACAAACTTAAATTTTGTTGAGTTTGTCAAGGAAAGAAAGAGTGTCTTTAATCTTCATGTCAATTAATTAAGTTATTCACCTCGATAATTCTGTCTTTTAAGGAGAGAATCATAGTAACAACGTGCATATACATCAATTTAGTTTTTCAGTAAGTTTGTCGCGTAGCAATTTAGGCATGCGTGTTCTTAACAATGTTAAAGTCAAACTTCTAATTTATTGGGTATCCACCCCATAAGTAGATTATATTTTTTGATTGGCCTATCAAAGACTTCCGCATATAATTTTGTTGGGCAATCCACCCCATAATTGGTTCGTGTATTTGTTTTCCCATTTCAGGTTTCTATTTTTAAATTATATTGGAATATTATCGAGCATCCACCTCTTTACAAATGGAATATTATCGGGCATCCACCTCGTGACAGATTAAATATTATCGAGCTATCCACCTTGTTACAGTTGAAATATTATTGAGCATCCACCTCGTTACAGATGGAATATTATCGAGCTATCCACCTCGTTACAAATGGAATATTACCGAGCCATCCACCTAGTTACAGATGGAATATTACCGAGCCATCTACCTCGTTACAGTTGGAATATTATCAAGCCTCCACCTCGTACAGATGGAATATTATCGAGTCATTCACCTCGTTACAGTTGGAATATTATCAAGTCATTCACCTCGTTACAATTTGAATATTATCGAGCATCTACCTTGTTACAGTCAAAATATTATCGAGCCATCCACCTCGCTATAGTTGGATAATTATTGAGTCATCCACCTCGTTACAGTTGGATAATCATAGAGTCATCCACCTTATTACAGTTGGATAATTATTGAGCTAGCTAGCTCGTTGCAGAGATCACCGAAGTTTGCCATGCAGAAAACAAGCAATGAAATCTCTAAATCCTCAACAAATCATGAGTTGTAACGGACATACTGCATCTGAAAGTGACATATACTGAACATACTTATGTGACATATTTCACATCAAAAGTAACTGAAAAGCATCATAAGAGATACTACCACTTTTCCAGTTATATTTTCTACTAACAAGTTGTTTCAGTCTCTGTCGAGAGCATCCAAGAGGATGAATTGTCATATCAAACCATAGGTGCGGACGACATCAACATAGATGCAGCACAACGTGAAACTTTTTCTTAGAAACGAACTGGGACATAGTCCAAAGAGGAGTGTCAAACTCCTAAAACGCGAGCAGAGGAGCGACTTCCACTACCATCTAACCACACCCCTGTCGGAAGGCATGTGGGTTTTTCTTTAGATATCTTAATTTTCACCAAAACCACCTTCCAATTAGAGTGACAAGGCACCAAGAGCTTTAAAATTATGTCCATGTAAGTTCTTACTTATGTATTTGACGAGCTCCACATTCATGGCTAAGAGGTTGAAGCCTCCTTTTCATAATCAGTTTCTTATCACTTGTCCAGAACCAAAGGTAATCTATCATAATAGATTTCTTTTTCAACTGATCGAGTCGAACTACAAGCAACCTGATTCCTATGATTTATGGATATGTAGGTGGATTCAATATTTAAAACCTGACTGTACTCCAACATTCTGATATGAATTTTATTCTTGAACATCATGATCTCTTCATAATTTGATATCGGAGTAGCTTTTGAATTCTTTCAGGGGGAGACAGTTGGAAAAATAGAAGAAAAATAGGGAGGAAATAGACGTTGGAGAAATTTTTTTTTTAGTCAAAATAATATCCAAAAATTGATAAGTGAGGTAGAGAATACTCAAATCAGTTTCTTTTTCGAACCCGACACTCTTGCTGTTTCTTGGAGTCACACTTTGATGGCGGGAGCTCGTAACTAACTCGTTCCCGTGTTAGTTCGCTTCCCGAAAAAAGGTAACATTCCTCACTCCTTCCATTTTAGAATCCATATCCTATATTTGGTACTGTTTTGCAAAACTTATTCAGTTTTGAATTTCTTCTTTGTTGGGATTTAGTATGTGTGAATATTGGCCTAATTAATTTCTTCTATTCTTGATTTCGAAATGGTCTCTGTTGTTCATCAGAATATTTTATTTACTGTTATTACGTTCTTTTAAGGAAAAGTTACAAAAAATATTAATTTCGTCTTCCAATTGGTTCTTTTACTTATGCATCAAAACTATGAATCTTATACAAATATATTGTTGCATCACTGGATGTTTTCTGATATGAAATATGTGAGGATACATACTAATCCTTTTATGGATGCAAATGTCAATTATATTTAATTTTTTTCTAAGTGTTTGTACTCATTTTGAATTGGCATGTTAAAATATTTAGAACCAATTATGGTCCATTGATTATAGTTATTTCAATGGATTGAAATTTTTTGGCTTGTTATCAATAGGTTCATGATGCTATTTAGAATTTAGATTTGACGATGGTCTAATTTAGTTTTTGTGTATACATAATGAATGACGATACATGGCTATGAATCCTTATGGTTTGGTTTTGATTCCTTAAATATATTGTTGAAAGTTTTAGCATGTCTTTTAATTTCCACTAGTTATTGGTCTATCCATTATTAGAAAATAAGCATGTTTTTTTTTTCTTCTTTGAAGTATGATGTTCATTGCAATTCATTTTTATTGCAAATTTTCTTTTTTCCTTAATTTTAGCGTTTCTTGCTCTCTTTAGCTCCAAATGTGCAAGAATTTTGATTAAGTTTGTCTTTAGTTTTAAACTATATAGCATATTATTCTCTCTCAATATAATTAGTCCATTTTCTTTTGATTTTTAAAAATATCAAGTGCATTGAGTATTGTTTATTTCCTTTTTCAATATCTTTTTTTTAGTCTTGTCTTGGGTGGCATGTATACTTCATGAAAGGCTCATGTTGAATTCATCTCGGAGTGTTTTACTATTTGTTACTCGATTTAGTAGGCGTTGGTTTGATTTGGTTGGCTTAAGTAAGAATTATACGAAGCTTCTTTTCTTTTTTCTTTTATGCATAAACTTGGACCGAGTCCTCACGGACTCTCCATCCCTCGCATACCATTAAGTTGTATTTCGAGTCGGACCTTCCTTTCTTGGATTTCAGAAGTTTGAAAAGAATTTAAAAAGGTGCTGCATTATTGTTTTTGAAAGGATGAACAGGCTGAAATACGGCTTCTATACATTGATTTACAATCCAGCGTAACAAATACGTGATTAAAAAGGACAATACAGGTTGCAGCAACCAAAATAGATTGTATACATTTGTTATACGGTCCAATATACAGGGTAAAAGGCCTAAATATTGCCCATACATAGTGGTATACACGGATATATACACAAAAATCAAACATAAAAAGAGGCAAAATGGGCCGAACAGAGGCCCAACAATACAGCCCCTTGCCTAGACTTTAGGACAGGTTTGGGCCAGAAGCCCATCAGATTGGAATTTGGGCAAAAGGCCTAAGTTAAGTATTTTCCTATTTATTTGTTGATTGACTAACATCTTATATATGAATCTCGGTTTGATTTAATTATATCCTCAAGATAGTCATTTCTCTTTTTAAAATTAAAATTAAAATCAAACATTTATATTTAATACTTAACTTTATTTTCATTATTAGTCTTGACAACATTCGAATTAATTTCCTTAGAAAATCCCCCTTTAGTTTATTTGATAATTAATAAAAAAATATATATAATAATAGATAAATAAATAAATAAAAATATATTTTTCTTTACTTAGTTATAATTTGAAAAAATTATTTAGAAATTATTTTAGTCAAATCGTCGGTTAATCGCAAGTTAGCGGGCATTCCGAGGACCTAACACCTTCTCAGAATTTACATTTGAAATTCGAACCCTTTTCAATTGATTTTTATATGTTTTAAATATTTTGAAAATAATTGTAAGTTTTTTTTTATATTTACTAAAAAAAATCAAATGACGACTTTGTTAATTTGGAAATTGATTTCCCTTAAATCATAAGATTAATTGATTCTTCAAAACTTAGTCATAGTCACTTTTACTTTCATTCATTTTTCTTAAAACACCAATCTCCATAGATCTAAGAAAAATCAAACACCAAAATCACTTTCTTTTTAAAATTCGCAAAGTTCAGGTCATCTTCACACCAAACAACTTACATAAGCATGTAGATCTCTTCAATATCGATTATTGATTTAAATATCATGTCGAATGTCTGGTGAGAAGTTTCACAACATATTTATCGCCACTCATTTCTACCAGTCATCCATCCGCCTACCTCAAAATGGCCCCAAAACTTACCACTTCTTCCCCTAACCATCCTCTACATGAACCCACAAATAATTTCCTTTTATTCTTAACCAAACTTCATAGAGCTGTTACTTTCTTTCTAAAATTTAAAGGTTTAAGTAATATTCATCCCACACAACGTACATAGCTATGTAAATCTCTTCGAGATCTATCGATTGATACAAATTACAAGCTAAAATGCCAACAAAAAGTGTTCTATGAACTTTCTCAGCAAAACCACTAACGACATCAAAACACCACAAACTTCAGACACCTAACAAACATCCTCTTTCCATATCTCCCAACAAAAGTTTTTTTTTTTTTGGTTACATGTCAAAATTGCAGTGATGTGTTTGGATAGAGAGTCACAGATTCGGCGATTACATGAAAAATCAATTTTACCTACAACTTTTTCTCCAATGCAATTTTGTTAGTATCTATGATCTGTTTCACCTTTTATATTTCATTGGTATTTCATGTCTTGTATGGTAGATGTGTTTTTTATTTACCATGGTTATATTTTATTTTAATAGCATATCTAGATTTTCTTTATATTTTTATGGTATCGTTTTTGCAATTTTGCCTAATTTTTGTGTTAATTTGATACTAATACTTTGTTATTTTCTATCATTTTCTTTATAGCTTATATTTTTATTTAATTTCTATTTTTATATTGCTTATTTTTCATTGTTTTAGATGTTTTCAACACTAATCATTTACTACCAGATACATTGTTGAGGATTTTTTTATTGCTGGAACTTGTTATTTGTTTGTGGAACTTTGATACATCATTCATTACACCACTATCGTTCGCTGGCAATTAATTGAAATTGTGAGAACTATAGATAGCTTATTATTGATAATAATGATTCATTTGATTCTTTTACTATGATATTCAATGAATATTTTGTCAATGGCCGATGACGATTTTTATTTTATTTTTTTGAAATTTTAAGACCTCACTCAGATATACATAAAACGAATTTTACTTTTACTTATTCATTTATTTATTACTATTATTATTATTATTATTACTATTATTATTATAATTATTATTTTTATTATTATTTCTTTTGATTCATATATATTAGTTGTAATATTTTGTTGAAGTGTTTATTACAAGTATCTAGAATTGTTTTCCATTGAAGATATTAAAAAGACAAGTTTAACACTTTTTAAATGTTTTATCCATCATTATCTATATTATTCGCAATCGGTAAATATTTCCCTATATTTCACATTTTAATTTTACTATATTATTTATATATACATATTTCATGTTAGTATAATTGTGAAATTAATTTTTATCTCCTCCTCAATTTAAAAATGTGTTCATTCGGGACCCACAATTGTGGATTCTCAAGGGTGCTAACTCCTTTCTTTCGTGATCATATTAACCCTTACCTAGAATCTAATTGATTTTGTATATTAATATTTATTAAATAATTAATTAATTAACATGTTTCCTATTTTTCCTAAAATGGGTGGTGACTCTAAAATTGAAATTCTTTAAATAAATTAGTTGTTTTTTACCCCCACGATGTTGCAACTTATTTCAAAATATTAGGGATATAACAATAGTTTCTGCTAGGTGATGCTCTATGGGATGGTATCTTGTTATTCAAACATTCCAACAGTATGTCAAGAAGGACTTTTTGCACAAGCATATGCTTAATCTTTCTAAGACTAATTGAAGTTTTAGGATTAGTTTTATTCTTAATTAAGCCTTTTGGGTCTTGGTTCAACTAATATATTTAATTCTTTGTTGCATGCATTGTATTACTTTTTATGGATTTAATAAGATTAAATTTTAACACTTAAATATCGTCATAAATTTGAAATAAATAAGATACACTCAAGTGCTGACATGTTTCATGTTTAAGACCTAATGTAATTAATTGCTCTGCCAGACAGAGACAAGACATGCTAACTAATTAAGCACTGCAGAACTGATGTTGAGTTCATCATTGTTTGTTTGTTTCCTTACAGTGAGAGGATTTTGATTCATATTATAAAGAGTTAATGAGGTACATGTGTTAAAAATATTATGCTAGGGTTGCAAATTTTGGTGATGGAACCTTCTTTGATCTTGGTGCAACTAACTGCTTTAAGAAGGTTCCAAAAGTTGTTCGTCCATAATAGCTTTATGGTGTGATTTTAATGTTTTGGTCTAACACTTTTCCGAACCTTCATAAGCTATTTAGAAGGTGGCACAAAGAATAAGGAAGGTTCATTACTAAATTTTTTAGCGTAGCACAATCTTTTGAACAAAGATACCCCATACACTATGTATACGGAGCAAAACCATCTTCACTATAAGCCAAGAAGAGAATAGTGTTGAACCCAACATCATTTGCACAATGTTTAGTTAGAATGTCAAGGCAAAGCTTTTACTGAGTTAGGTCTTAAAAATAAGCATGTCAGCACTTGAGTGTAGCTTATTATCTCAATTTGTGGCAGCATTTGAGTGCCACGATATAAGAATATTACACCTATTAAAAGTAATACGATGATTTCAACTGAGAGAATAAAAAAGAGTAATAGTAATATAAATTAGTTAAAATTACTTGAATCAAAACCTGCAAAGCTTAATTAAGAATACGGCTAATCCTAAACATCAACTAGCAATAAAAATATCCAATATGTGATTGTGCTAACAACCTTTCTTGACATAATTTAGGAATGTGTTTTATAACAAGAGGTTACAATTCCACCGATCATCACCTTGTTGAAATTATATTCAAGAAGATGTATTTTTGAAGTTTTTCATGCTCGATGAAATTGCAACAAATCATAGTAATAAAATGCTTTCTTCTAGGAAGAAGAAAAATTCCCCATCTTATAACGTGTTGTTATTTCTTGTTTAATCATTAGCTTCATATTATTATTGCATTGTTATTATGTATACTTACATAATAGTTTGCAGCGACGAATAATTTTTAATCCAAATGAGACAAAGAGTGTTTATGTGTAATTATGATTAATATGCATCACAAATTATTAATTTTGTATAGGTATACACCACAAAATAGATAGGATCTATGATAGCCACATCTTATGGAAGTTATATCGAGATTCCTATGCAACTTTTGACACTATTCTCATTTCACAACAAAGTCTTGATATGTAAGTAACTATAAAAATGTGGAAACTAGAATTTTTTAAGAAAGAAGAAAAAAGTATTAAGATATCATGGCGTCGACATTCACATTATGTGTTTTGATACATTAAAAAATATTGTAAATTTGAACACTTCAGATATTATGTGAATTTGACTTATTTTGCCTTCTTTTTCCTTTATTTTTTTTCTTAAGCTCTCATAGATGAAATTTAAACATATTAGAATCAGAAATGGACTTAAAGAATCATTGAGGATATAATTTGGTGAACTAGAAATCTAATATGAGTCTGAAATCTTTGATTAATCATGAACATTTTGAAGAATTCCAAGTGTTTGTTCGATGCAATTTGATAAAGCGGGTGTCACGTCACTATTGTGGTGGAACTAACTCATTCCATAGTGAGTGTTCATGCTATTGAGGAGCCTCTATAGTAGGTTAGGTCACTATAGAGAGGTGAAATCGTAGTTTATATTGAAATTCCCCTAAAAGCACTCATTATTATATAGAGCTCCTTTTTGGTAGAGGAAGGGCAACCTATGGTGATTTTTTTCACTTTTCTACTATATTCTTCAGTATAGATAATTAACTCATTCCTCTATATTATTAATGTGATTCTTAGGCCTTAGAACCCTTGTTTGGTGGCATTAGAGAGACTTTGACTTGAATGAATGGTGGAAAACCCTAGTTTTTGTAGGGATGATCATAGGAATCACATGGTGTTATGATTTGTTTATAATTTGAGCATTTATAAGACATTATTCATTGATTGTGTATTTTGTTATTGTTTTAGACTAGTAACATTCAAATACTAATAAAAAGGGGGATAATACTCAATTACCCCCCTAGCATATACCCAAAATCCCTGCGACACACCTTATCTTTGATGAGGTCCTATTACCCCCTCCAACTTTTTTTTAAGTAATTAATTACCACTTTCGTGCCTACGTGGCAATAATAATCTGAAAGGTCGATGTGTTTGTTCAACACGTGCCGGGACCCACTTTTTTAGCTTTCGAAAAAGTAACTTTACACTTCCCAAGTTTGAAAAGCTGGCGTTTTATGTTTTCCAAATTAATTTTACCAAAAAGTAGATGAAGTAACAAGTTAGAAATTTGATTTCCAACTGAAATTTGTGTGTGGATCGATTTCAAAAGTTAGAAATTTGATTTCCAACTGAAATTTGTTTTTCGATGTTGGATTTTGATAGTTAATTTTTGGTTGCAGTGCTGCATGTGTGGATCGATTTCAATCGTGAAAGTGTGGGTCGATTTCATTCAGCAAGAATCGTGACTGACTTGAGTTCAAAGGTTAGTTTTTTCTTCATTTATTTTATTTTTTGTTATGCTTAGATTTTGTAGTGGTCATGCTTAGATTTTGTAGGGGTTATGATATATTAAATATTGATTTCGATTTTGAGTGAAATATAACTTTTAGGGTTTATGTTGTGGTTCTGTTAGATATCAAATTTCTTATTTTTAGGGTTGATGTTATTCATATATTCATACTGTCATCTTTGTTGTTATGGGGTATGTGACTTGTTATTCATACATTTATATGGAACGTGTTTTGAGTATGTGTTGGTAGGGTGGTATTATAGTTGTGTGAGTTATGTTGTTATAATATGAAACATGCAAGAAGATAAAGACGAGTTGGGTGTTTTTCTGTGTTGTCTTATATTCTGGGTTACAATAAAGTAACTTCATGTTGGGTATTGTGTTGTGTCTGTGTGGGTGTGGAGTTAAACTTAAATAACATTATCCTAAGACTATAATATATGTTGGGAGTTGTGTTGTGTCTGTGTGGGGTTACATACCTAATTGTAAGAAGATAAAGATATGTCGTGTATTGTGTTATTCATGTGGGGTATTGTGTTTTTTATGTGTGGGGTTGGATATGTGTTTTCTTCAACTTGAATTGTTTTTATAACTATTTGGGTATGTATTTTCTTAATCAATTATTATATTCTATTAGCAACTTTTACTTAATTATTGTTATGTTTATGCATATAGGTATGAGTGGGTTTACATTCATTACTTTAAAGTTTTATCATTGTGGGGCCTTGTTGTATGAAGGTGATAAAGCAAGATATGTGAGTGGGTTAGTGAGTGAATATTATGATATTGATGTGGATACAATATCATATTTTGAGATTAAAGACTATATTATTGAACTAGGGTATAGCCCAAATTGTAAATTTAGTGTCCGGCCACCTAATAGTTGCATTTTAGGAGATATTGACAATGATAATATCCTCTTAGCAATGTGTAATTGTTTGCAAAGTGGGTCTGTTTTGGAAGTATATGTCCACATGCCTAGTGAGGATTCTGGTACAACTTTTAATAAATTTGGGACCACTGAGGGTAGCGGATATAATCAAGTAGGTGAGGCTGCTTATAATGGGGTAGATATAACTATACATACTACCTCAAATATTCCTTCTACTTCAAATCCAACAGCTCCAAATAGTGATCCATCAAATTCTGAAGATAGTGAATACTCTGTAAAAGTATCTGATGAGTCAACTGAAGAGAGTGATGATTATGAAGATAGTGAAATACTTGAAGATGATCAATATGGAAGTGATGTTCATGAGGAGTTAATTCAATTGAGGGCTGAGAAAAGATCTTTTCTGAGGAGATTGTATAGCCTCCATAATAGACTCTATCTTTCCCTAATTGAATTTTTGGTGTGTTACATGTCATTATAGAATGATGTGGTACCTTGATGTCCCTATTGGGTACATGAATATTATTGACTAAGTTATATGATTAATGTTTTGTCTTTATTGATAGATTTATTCCTTCTTATTGATACATGAAAGTTATATGAAGGTGATATCTTAACTTGGTAGACTTAGGCAGCCTAGTCATGTATGTATAGTTCAATGAAAGTCTACGATCGGTAGACCTATAGTGGTTACATTCTATTAATTACTTGTATGAAACCATGAATATCAAAATAACATTAAGAATGAAATGCCCTAATGGACTTTGAGTAGAATCCCTAGTGGAACCATTCTTGGTAGGGTATTATGAGTTTGTAAGAATAAGAAATGGCACCTTCTCAAATACCGTCATTTGAATGAATTTACTCTATCATATTAAAAAAAAGCACCGAGTGATATGGTTTTAGTAGCTCTACATAATTATGAAACTATAATATAAATAATCCCTTGATATCCATTAACCTTGTGCAAACATGGGATGAGTCTTAGTTCTACCTTTGTTAAGTAGAAACCTTACACGGTATGGGGTCTTAGGACTCCGGATTACATACCTCTAGTATGGTCTATGTAGGTTAATTCCTATTCTCATCATGTGTGATATGCACTCTAGTATTGGATGGGCTCTACAACGTGTAGGTAGTGGAATAGGACTCTATCTATATATGGAACGAGTAGCCCTTGAATATACTACAATAAGTTCCCTAGGTCTTCCAAGACCATTATGTGAAGTCCCCTAATTTTTAGCTATCTCTTTTATAAATTTAATGAATAATGTTGATTTAATTAAAGCATGTTTAATAGAGAGTTTCTTTTCTATGGTAGCTTTGAGGACTGCTTAGGTGTGCTTGAAGAGTGTGTATGGGTTACCTTTTGATGTCTTATTCAAGTAATTCTTATATTAACCATGGGTAGATATTATAAATGATGAGAAGGCTTTCTTGATGAATATGGATTTAAGTGCTATGTGATGTAAAGGAATATCCTTTCTCTGGGTACTCTTGAGGATCACCTGGTTGTTTGTGAATGGGATGTATGGGCGACCATTTGGTATCTTACGTAAGTGGGTTTTAGGATAACCTTTGGTAGGTTGCGGATTATTTGAATATGTATTATATGTAATTGTTGACTTGTATATTTATGCCTCTTAAACTCTTATTGTAAAGGTTTTTATCTAAATGTCATGAAATCATGTTTTCATAAATAAAATGTCCCCTTTTTGTGGTGTTTGCATGGCTTCCATTCTTAGTGCATTAAATGTTCTAACTCCTTTTCCCGTTTTCACTAAAGTTTAGCGATTGAAGTTCTTTATATGCCATGTATGATGAATAGGTTTCGAAGTGTTGAATATAATGCTTTGGTTAGTCCACATAGATTCGAGGACAAGACCCACATCTTCTTTTTAAGTGCTTATTTTAAGTCTTGTATGGGCTTAGTAATAAATGTTGTTTTCTAACGTATAGATGTTTTAATGAGACATTGTAAAGGTAGAACATTTTTAAAATTCTTGTTCTTTTTATTAATGAAAGTAGTCTTCATGGTGAAGAAAGCTTTAAATTCTTACTTATTTTGAGACCTTCGAGAGGTTTATTAAACCTTGTAGCTTCTACGGGTTGCTGCTCAGTTGTTGCAGATAGTAACCTATATGTATGTGTATATATATATATATATGTATATATATATATGTATATATATGTATATATATATATATATATCCTAAGGGAACCATCTTTCTTTCTCACAAATAAGACCGGAGCACCCAAGGTGAGATACATGGTCGAAGAACACTTATCGAACAGAGCACTTATCAAACAGATCTTTCATTTTTTCTTTAAACTCTACAAACTCTGTTGAGGCCATCCTATATGGAATGATAGATCTAGGACAAGTATCTAGAAGAACATCTATGTTGAAGTTTATCTCTCTCTCTCTTTCTCTCGGGAGGGACTCCCGGAATATCGTCTTGAAGGATTTCTAGAAACTCTTTCACTACTAGAACTCACTAAATAGGAGTTATCTCAACACTATATTCATAGACTAAGTTATAGACATACTCCTTAGAAACTAACTTTCTCGCCTTAATGTACGAAATGAATTGACCCTTCTTCTACTGAACTGTTTTTCCACACTAAGGCTGGCTCGGTTGGAAACTGAAATGACTGCTCGAGTTCTACAGTCAACTCAGTCATAGCATGCATGAAGTCAGTAAATACATATAATGACAACAAAGTATACTATATCTAACTCAACTACATCAGTCATGGTACTTTTGTGATTGACGAAAATAGGACAATCACGATAGACTCTGTCTACGAGAATAGACCGACGAATAGGTTTAGAAACACTAGATATTTCACTAAGATGTTCAGGAAAAACATCAAAGATTATATAAATATATGGAATTACGAAAAATAAACTCTCTCCGGGGTCTAGCAAAGAATAAAAAGTAAACTCAAATATTTGAATCATACCAATGACAACATCTGGTGAATCCTCTTGCTCTTGACAAGTGTTGATATCCTATAAGTGGTTTTTGTTTTACCAGTATCAAAAGTATGCCCTCTAGGTGCAGCTCTTTGTGGTGGAGCAACTGGAGAAGCTTTGACCTTGTTGCCCTGATTTCCACTACCTTGCCAGCTCTCAAGACACTCCCTCAGAAAATGAGTATTTTGACCACACTTAAAACAACTAGTAAAGGCCTCACGAGAAATACCAAGTGATTTCTTCCATTCTTAGCACATGCATGAGGCCTACTATCCCTTTGCGCCAAACTCTCTTTAGAATAGTCTGGATTATCTCTGAACTTCTGAATATTGTACTCACTTTTGCTCATAGGTGTAGGTTCACTCGTAGATGATGGAGTAGGTCTCTTTTGCTTCTAATGTACGGAGGATTTGCTGGCATTATTGTTTTGTTGCATGAACTCATTTCCTAATGTCATAGTCCTTTTCTTCTTAAAGTTTACTCTATCCTTCAACTTATCCTCCTACACTTGTTTTACATGGATCATAAACCTTTCTAGGTGCATATCCCCTATCAGCATAGCTTCATTTCCTTCCTTTATTGACTGACGAGACAACCCATCCACAAATAAACTCATTTCCCCCTCTTTTGTCAGCAACCATCTCCAGATCATAGCAGGAAAGTTGTGCGAACTTCAGACCGTACTCTTGAACACTCATAATCGCAGGATTAAGCGTTATAAACTCTCTTATATTTTTCTCTCACAACACATAGCGAATGAAACCTACCATGAGAACATTCTCAAACACAACCCAACTTACAATTGGTACATCCTCAGCTGTATTCTTTTTCCATTGGGCAAACAAGACTCTAGCAATACTCTTTATTTGGTATGCAGCTATGTTCAACCCTCTCAACATAAAAAACATGCAATATGTCAAAAGATTTTTGAAGTACTTCAGAAATGTTTTTAGGGTCCTCTGAGACACTTCAACGTGTAAATCTTGGTTAATTCATCGCTAAAAATTCATGGATCTCTGAAGTATCAACCACATCCTCTCATTTACGTCTATATCTAACTGATGTGGGCAACTCGACTTAACATCCAGATAGTCTCAAATAATTTAGTATGGGTAATTTTTCCTTGTGGTTGCACTTCAAGTGCATTTTGCAACTCTTATTTCTCAATATCTCTCCTATCTAGACGATTTTTGATTGCTCTTTGTGGAAGCATGAGTCTCTCGAAACACGTCCATATATGAATAAGAGAAAAAGGAATACGAAGGAAGTTAGAAATTCATACATTTTGTATCCTCCTAATCATAGATGCGGAACACTTCAAACCAATGACAAAGATACTACATACACGACTTCATATAATCGCTATGACTCTTGAACTTTATGCTATGATACTAAGTTTGTCACTGCCCAAGTCTACACCCTGGACATGATAAGTACATAATGACCATTTTTGGTGTTCAACAAAACTTCGGCTTGACATACTTTACTAAGCGGAAGACTTAAACATAATATATAACTAAACAAATAAATTAAAAGTGATACTTAGCCAAAGTGGAAATTCAAGTATCAATCATTTACAAGTTAAATGAAAAGACTAAAAAACTAACACTGTCATGCCTGGAATCGAGACCCCAGACGAAACCGGCGTCGTTGACCTCTCAGTGGTCGCAGACAATCCTACATATATTATCGTTACTTCATCTAGGTTACTTTTAGCAGAAAATTTGAAACTTTTGTTACTTAACACTTGTGTAAAACATTCTACTTAAACTTATAAACGTTCACAATCAACCATATAACAATAAGATAATCAAATGAAAGAAATAGTTCAATCTTTATTAAGTGTATTCTTGCAAAAATGGAACCAATACAATGTATGAAATAAAAGTATAAACGAAACACTAGTGGAACATGCTCCACAATCTAAATCCTATATCTAATCTATATAATAAATGTAGACATCCTCAAAAGCATGAGGGCCTACCAATTGAAGTTGAAAGCTTTACGTTCGGATAGCTTCAACGTCGTACTGTAAGATCTAACGTCCACCTGTGTCTGGACCTAAAAGTAGATATTGCATGAGATTAGTACACACTTGTACTAAGTATTGGTATATGCAAGCACACACCAAGGACATGCATGAGTAAGAATAACTCTTTCCTAACAGCATGATTTATGGAAAGTCAAGGCAGTGGACTTGCAAAATTTTGATTAGGAAAGTCAAGTGGACTTGTCAAATTTTATTAGAAAAGTCATGCCATGAGAGTAACATGCTTCATCATATGTATCATATGGCACACAACACATAACGTAGTACATATAGCACCTAACATATTGCATATACCACCTAACATATTTCATATGATTCGTTCATATGCTATGAGACCTTGGAATCAAGGACTTGACATTAAGACTTCACAAAATGAGGGCTCCACATATGGGACCTCGACTAGTGAGCCTTCTTTATCAAACACAGAGTCTGCTTCATTAATTCAGGCGTACTTCATTTCATTCATTCATATACTAGTGTAACTACTAGTCAAACCTAGGATTTAGTTTAAGGCTCTCATTGGGTTTGTTGTGCAATGACCAAGAATAAGCTAGTGTCATTTCTTAAGTCTAGATCACCTCTTGATTATCCTATCCTAACACCTTTGGTAAGTATCATTTATTTCATTATGTGCATTATTTGAGGATGGCCTGATTCTTTCTTTGGGATCTTTAACTTTAACCGACATAGATCATGTGAACATCATAAAATACAGTGTCTTCCCCACACCAAAAAGAGATAGAATCACCGGCCAACGTGACCCTAAACATGCTAGCGTATATAGGGAATTTAAACCTGCTAGATCCATATATTGGCAGTATATGTTCAAAGACTAGGAGATATAAGGAGACCCATACCTAATATACTATACAGTCTCATCTCATGGGAGTTACGTGAACCTCCGCCCTTCTCGAAGGAAGGCATCACTGCTCATAGCTAGCCAATCGGTTCTCAGTATAAAGTTCCATTTCATTCAACTCATACATCATGGAAGCTGACTTCTAGTATGAGGACATCAGAGATAAATAGATAATTTCTCCTCTTATCATTAGTATTAAGCATACATTAATCTCAATACATTCATTAGATTGTTCATAGAGACTGGTCTATTCATTAACTTTACACTCTCATAGGTGAGTATGTTTTGGTAACATTTACTTAGGATCATTTGAGATTGCTCTCATATTTCACAATAGCCTCTTATTATGTTGTCACCACATTCATTAGCTTTACCACATTTGCTCTTCATAATTACTCACCCCTTTTTACGTGAATGTTTGTTTCATCATATGCCAATGCACTTGGCCATTTTGTGTGTTCCACACTCTTACTTAACCCTTCTAGGAGTTCATCATTTCGTTTCATACATATTAGTTTCACTTACTTTTAAACGTATGCTAGACCAATGACTCTATATATGCTAAATCTATCTTCCTAAGATATTGTAGTACAAGACTTATGCATCTTGTCTGTATGCCAAGATCATTGATTTCGTTCTATGTAGGCAGCATTATTTGGACATTTCTTCACGTATGACTTATGTATCAATACGTAAATGGGACAAGGGAACCCAATTTCAAATCTCTTGGATAACACTTACATTTTTTTAAATTTAGTTTGACCCACACGGCTTGGGGACCCAAAATTGAGCCCCAACCTTCTATTCATTTTTCCTTGATTTCTCTCTTTATTCTTTTCGTTCATTG